CTCGCCAAGTTGCCCTGGCGGGTCTCGAACCCGTGGGCTCAGGCAATTCACTCACCTCAGCGCGGGATTACAGGCTGAGCCACTTATCATCCATCCCAACACAGAGCCCACAGGACAACGTGCTTTGGGAAAGCACAGGAGTGGTGGAGCAGGTGTACACCAGGCCAGCAGGCAGGCAACCAGGGCAGGCCTGTCTCACATATCAGTGTAACCCCCTTCAAAGAGAGGATTCTAAGAATGAAAAACGAGTCCAACCACCATGCCAGGCAATACAGATTTTGAAATATGGTTACTGATGGGTACACACACACACACACACACACACACACACACACACCATGGCGGAGGGGGGAGAAGGAGAGGGAGGAGGGGAGAGGGAGAGAGGGAGAGAGAAAGAGAGAGGGAAAGGGGGAGGGGGGAGGGAGGAAGGGAGGGAGAGAGAGATGCGCACTGTCACAAAAATCACTTTCTGATAAATTTAACAGATAATTTTCCTCCGAAACATGCTTTATCAAATTATTAAGTAACCATATCTTTTAAATGTGTATATCCTTAAAACAAGAGAAAGCAAATATTGCTATCACTCTTTTGAATAAGCAATACGGGATGCCATCTAAGTGATCAGGGAAGTAGCCCTTGACAATGGAGGTGTGAGCCATCATGTACGGTAACATTCAGAAGCAATCCACGCGCTTGGGCTTACAGAATGCATTATTGTATAATTGGTCTGAAGGATGCCTATTTTATGTGTAAACCGAATTCTCTTCCTTCTGTTCTTCCTACGGAAGGTTTATCTACCACAAATATCTTTCTCTACTCATGTAATTTCTACTGTTGTTATCTGAGAAAATGCTTAACTGTTAACTTAAGAACACATACATACCAGAAACTGCACTGTCAACATGTCTTAAAGATATGCTGTGTTACTGATTATCAGCCTTAACCAAATATTCATAAAAGTGTTTTTTACAATACTCTTGTCACTAATATTTTTAATAGGCACAAAGACTTTGGTACAGAATAAGCATTTCTCTTAAGCATTTACAAAGCCAGATTTTAAAGAAAATTAATAATGAATTAGTATTAACATTGATTCTCAATAAGCATCTCATTAAAAATGGTTCCATCTTTCCTGATTTGAAAAATTTCAGTAAGGATTTACTTACCTGGGAATATTCGAAGTCAGTGATAGGGGCAATGCTCTTGATATAGTCTGATCGAAATTGGTTTTCGGGGTTGGCTAGTGGCACTGGAGGTATTATAGTGCTCATCGCCGAAACAATAGTCTAAAATGGAAGGAAGAAAAAATATAGATAAGCATAACATTTAGGCTCCAGGTATGATCATCTCAGATATATATTTTCTGCCTACACCATTTTAAAACGCAGTTCTTACACTTTCCAATAAAAATTTTTTTAAAAAAAAAGTCCTTACCACAATAGCATCTTTAACGTTTTTCCGAATGTCCAGAATTTTCTGTTTCTTTTCCCTGTATCGAAAGAAAACTCTGATCAGCTTAGCATTGATTCCGATCAATTGAGTGGGACTTACATTTCCAGCTGCAGCACTGAGGCAGACTGGTCTCACTAGAGGTCAGTATCAACTCTCAAGACAACATCGGCAAAGGTTTTATCTGGGAAAGGAAAACACCCTCCTCTTCTAATTTGTAGTCTAGACAAACTTCAATGCACATGTTTTATAATCCATAACTTTAAGTAATCATGTTTTGTTACACAAAACAGGACAAAATCATTCTAGATACCGCACATAAATAAAACTTTACAGCTGTACTTGTAAATATATTTTACTTAAGACCTACCCGTATATTGTAGTTATATACGGAAATAAACGATGTTATCGAGTAAAGTATATATAGAGATACAGGTGTGCTCAGAGTAATAGCAAGAATGCAGACCAGTACTCCAAAAATACCTAATAAATCACTTTTTGTTAAGCAAGTTTTTTTTTTTTAAACTAGACGCTACCAGAAGAAGGATTTGCCTAGTTAACAAATTCAATAGTAAATGTCTATTTGCTTCCCCTTGGAGGTCTACTGAGTCAGCAGATGAACTCTTTAGAGAAAGTACTTTTGGGAGGGCTGGAGACAAGGGACCAAGTTGGCATGCAGTTTGAAAGCAAAACCGAAATGACGGCTCTTACTCGGGATTAAATCCATTGACGTGCAGGATCCTCATCTGTTTGACGATCGTGCTTTTCCCAGACTCACCAGCTCCTACAAACAAACAAACAAACAAACAAAAGGCTGTAGCCTGTGTCCCTCACCGCTAGCCAGGTCTGAGCGATCCTCCGCCCCCACACGGGGGTTCTCAGTAGACGCCGCTTTCTGGCCTGGGTCCGGGCTGGGCTGCCGGCTACGCGCGACCCCGCCCGGCCCTGCCGGCCCTGCCAGCCCTGCCGGCCCTGCCCCGCGCTCGGATCCTGGCCGTGCGCTCCGCTGGGCCGGGCGCCGCGCGCGCGCCCCCGGCCTTACCCAGGAGCAGCAGGCGGTGAGTCGCTTTGTAAGCCAGGCGCTCCTTCTGCAACTGCTTCTCGATCTTTTTGTTGGCCTCGCGTCGCTCTTTTTCATCGACGCCCTGATCTTCCGTCGTCTTGCTGTTGCCCAAACACCCCATGCCTGCCCGCTGGGATGGACGTCAGGCACCGTCAGGAACGCGCGTAAAAAGCGGCGGAGAGTCGCGGATGTGCGTGGATCCCGCGACGGCCTCTCCCTTCCTCGCTGCTGAAAGAGATGGTCTGCTCTCGGGCTTTTCCGACCAGAACAGGCGGTTCTCCCCCCACTGCCCCCCACCGCTAATTCCCAAGTGGGAAGGAGACGCGAGGAAAATGCCTTCTGAAAACAGACTTGGCTTAAAGATCTGGATCGGGACGGCACGGCGAACGAAGACGGGACGAGGGCGGCGGGCTCCGCTGGAGACGGCGGGGTGGCGCTGCGCCCTCACCCCGAGTCCCCGCGCCCGCACGCCAAGCCTCGCTCAGCCCCGCCCAGCGAGGACCTCCGCGCTCGGCGTCCCCGCGGGATCGAGGCCGAGCGCGCCGAGGAGGGACGGAGCGCCCCACCGGGTCCCCGTGGGGTGACTGCGGGCACCTGCTGGGCCGGCTCGCGCCCCGCTTTGCCTCCGCCGTCGGACGGCGAG